GTTCTATATAAGTTATAATGTGGAATATGTATTTCACAGCTTAATCATCTTTGGCTCTTAAAAAGTAAGTCTTGCACAGCATGAACTGTAAAACTATGCCAGCAAAAGTGTTTCTTGCAGTTATAAACAATATTTAAAAGTAATTCAATAAAAAAAAATTAATGGAAGCAACAGACAAATGGGATAGGAGCCTTAACAATATTAACAGGTTTGTACAAACAGCCACATCCACCCAAAAGCATAATCAAATAAAGCCATAGTTATGTTATAATCATCAACACATAAAGTCTCTCTGCATCCTAAGCCTTTGTACTTATGATGCAAACCTCTGCACCAGATGTAAAATCTGGCTCCCCTTTCCTTTTCTTACCTGGCTGCCACTTGCATATGATTTGTTTTCTGTCCATGTGAAACGTAGCAGATTAGCAAGGAGAAATCTAAACTCTAATCTCTGCATCATTAACTCTATTCACTCCTGCAATGTTAGCGTCTTTTGCAACTTGCTTTTCTCATAAAAACTGTGTGTAAGAACTTGCATTAAATGCATTTGAAAATAGACATTCAGATGTTAGTTGGCAAGGGCAGATGAAGTGTGATCAAGACATCTGTTTTTATGACAGTATCTTGCCAATCTAAACCTGGACAATGCCACCCCAACATCTTTCTTGTTACTGTTCAGTATTAAAATAAAGCCTCCATGGTCCAACCTCACACCACTTAACTGTCAGGAGTATGAATTACTGCAGCAGGTGGGCCAGTGTGGTTTTAAAAGCAATGTAATACAATCAACTGTACAGTATCAGATTTCAAGGAACACAAAAGACATCTAGATCAGAGGCTGATCCTTAAGCAATCCTAATATTGGCATTAAAGTGTTCAAGATCCCACAGGGACCACTTTATCTTTTGACCCCAGGTTTTAATTGAAACTTTGAACAAAATATATTACCTATTTAATGTAGCTGAGCTGGACTCTGGCCTTCGTAGTGCATGTTGCCATGCCAAGCAAATTAATCTGTGTAACCTTAGCATGTACCTTTTAATTTACATCAAAGAAATATTACATAGAGAAAATAAATACCAAGCCAACTCTATGCAGCTTGTTGAATAATTATTTTGATACTAGTTTTAATTTTAGCTGTTTTTTAAGGAGAAAAAAAAAAAAAAGGTTTTACTTCTTGGTACAAAGCCAGAGGAACATATGGTTTCCTTAGCTGAGTTGTTGCACACCTGGCAAAATAAATCACAGCAACAGAAGACCAAAATCTACCCTGCAACTTTTCATATGCACAAATTTAGAACATCTGATGCTGGTCTTCTGGTCCTGCCTTTCATACCATGAATAAAATGTGAAGTCAAATGGATTGCTTGCTTCTTGAGGCCAAATACTTCTTTTTCCTTTAAAAGGCAAGTTAGAGTTTAAAGGGATGAGAGTGAGCTGGACAGGCTGGCACACTGGAGGAATGAGTCACTGGGCCTGTCAGAGCAAAAGGCCCATAGAAGCAAGGACAGGAAAAGCAGCGTAACACAAACAGGGAAAGCAGGTGGTGCAAAGGCTTAACACTGCTGGAGTGTTAATGCTACCGCACTCTGAGCGCTGGAGTTCAAACTCTAATTCACTTTAAACAGTTTGTCTCCTGCTTGTTCTCTCTTATGTCATGTACATCATACAGGGAAAAAAGTCTCCAGAAAACCTTCAATGAAATGATTGAATGATTACTTAAAATTAGAGGAAGCTCTGTTTTCTTACATCACATGCCAATATCTAACAGTGAACCAGAGCAATTGCTAGAGACTCAGAATACACCAATCACAATGATAACTGCAGCAGATAATCCTCAACCTGTATTCTTGGATTTCATGATAAGCCATGAAGACCTTTTCCACATGTAGGGA